AATTTCTCTTCAGTTTCTGAAGAACTGGAAGCGCCGGTCGTCTGTTGTGGAGGCACTGAACGCTTCATTCGCTTAATGAACACAACATTTCCTCTTTGATCCTCAGTTCGGATCTCTTCGAACTGCTGGTCGTCTCCCGTCTGTTGGCCCACAAACTCCTTTGACGGGTCGGGCGATGGGTTGTTGAACATGAGATCAGCCGTTTCGGTGCTGGAGATCATTGTCGCCTCGTCTGCCGTCAGATAACTGTTAACACTGGACGACATTCCCGAACCGCACTGATAGGTGGTTCCCAGAGTGGCCCCAGAGTTGGTCACATCGAATGAGTCCGTACTCGAGATCATACACTCAGAGCCCTTAACAACGCCACGAAAACTGTCTCTCAGAGAGTCGTCTTCGCAGTCAATCTCTTCCCGAAGAGTGGCCAAAGCGGGTCCAGAATCTCCAGTCATTGGGTGCGTGACGTCACTGGACTTTGAGCTCGTGTTGTCGTTCATTGTTTCGCTTTGAAAGTCTAACTCATGGATGTAATCGTCTTTGAATTCTTCGTGAAGCGAATCGTCGTCTCTATACTCGTATCGGATGTCCTCTAAGTCTCCGATCCTATCGATCAATGATTCGGTATTAATAGTAGAGATGGAACTCTTGGGATACGAGGAGTGGTGGGAATCATTGCTTTCAGTCGACACTACTTTACGCGTAAGTATGAGTTGAGCAGCGCTTTGGGGCCTCTTATCGTCTCTCATGTCATCGTTGATACCCTTATCAGTCGATTGGCTGTCAGTTGTTATGCTGTTGTTATCCAATTGTCCCTTAGAATGCATTTTCTCGACATTGTTTTGAGCCATTTTCATCATATCATCGATTTCTGACATTCGCTTCTCATAGTCGGAGTCGGTGTCGTTAGAGCGGTCATCGCCCGCACCCGACAGTGTCTCCTGACTGGCGTCTGAGGCCTGACTCTCGTGTCCCTCTTCTATCTCCGACAGTCGGGCCGCTTCTTCCTGAGCCTTGCGTTCAATGAGTTCGGCTTCAGAGCAATCCTTTTCCAGTTTTTCAAACTCATTAATACTGGAACTCATGGAGTGATCGTCACGACTGGCGACAGCCCTTCCGTCGAAACTGGAGCCTAAAGAGTCACTCGAGCCGTGATGACTGCCTTTAGTCCTCATCTCAGTCTCGAGTCTCTCAAACTCTTTCAGCGAAGAGGCGGCCGAAGACTCGCCACTTCTGGACGACGCTATGGTTAACGGTTTGCTTTGAGACAATCGTGAGCTCAGCGACGCTCTGATGGGTGAATCCTCGACGTCTTCGTCCACTTCTTGGTGAGTGTAGAGCTCTGAGTGCTGTTCCGGGCATTGACTCAAGTCTGGCGTCAGACTCGACGCCTCCATCTTTTGCAGGAATGGTTCAGAGAAGGGCTCTTCAGTGTCGGGCGGAACCGGCGATTGCGGTCGCTGTAAGTCATCGGCAGTGAGCGGATCAGAAGCGGCCAAATGAAGGTCTGGACTCAAATCGTATGACAACTGATGTCTCGCGTGTTCTGACAGAACGGAACTGCAGAAAGAACTTTGAGAAACGAGAGGTGTGTCCGAGAAGTGTGTGTCAGACGTCATGTCCGAGGAGGACGTCTTGTCGTCTTGCGTTGAATTCTGGCGGACAGTAGAGGACGACTGAGTGCTGCGGCGCTCGCCATCGGATCCGTCGATATCTGGATTGAAGTCGACTTCAATGGGACCGTTGCTGTACTGCTCGACACAATCACCGCTCGTCTCAATGTTTTGTTGCGTTTCGTTGTTTAGTGTTTCGAGAGAACCGATGGAATCGGAAAACGACCGAAATTGGGTCGAATCGGCGCAACCGGGAGGACCCAAACTCGTCACCGATCCGTTCCCTGAGTGCGAATAACCGGCGATATTGATAGCGGTTCCCACACTCGATGAATGCCATGTATTGGAGTTGTCTGACAGCTGTTCGCTCTCATCAACACTAGTCGACGGCAGAAGCGATGGTCTGTTGGCTGCGGCCATCGCCTCATTGGCCGCCTCTTCTAACGCTGCATTCAGTATCGCCTCATAAGAAGTGGAAGGTTTGGTTTCGTGTCGGTCTTTGTGGCCCCAATTGGTGCCCGACATGAATGGCATTTCATCGCCGCCTCTGATGACAGACTCGGGTATATCGCAGTCAAAGGGCTCCTTAAACTCGTTAACGGGAGTCAGACTTCCGGTGGGCTCGAAGTCGTCGTCAGTGACGTCTTCGCGGCCCTCGACGTCGCCCTCGACTAACGTTTCGCTCGCTTCGGACGACAATTCGCCGAAATGTCCGGAACTCTCGGATTCAATAGAAATGGTTGACTCGCGTGAACTGCCGACCACTGAAGTGCGGGCCGTATGATAGCTGGTGTCCTGCGATGAGGCGGCCGTGGCGTACGAGCCCTCCTGCGATGTATGGCACGTCTCGTACTCGGACTGAGTGGTGGTTGTGGTGCCGGTCGTAGTGCCGAACCCACCGCTACTCCGACTACTAGAGCAGCGATACTCTGGAATTATAGTCAAATCAAATTCACTACTCGTCGGACGACTGGAGACCGGCGTTCGGCTGCTGTCCGACGCCTCACACGACTGGTAATGGCTGTCAGAACTGGAACCGCCGGACTCTCTCTCCCGTTGTGAACCACCAGATCTGCTGCCACTTCTGCTGCCGCTGTCGCTCGACTTCGGCGCCGGTTGTGATAAAGTTCTCTTGAGTTCGTCGGGACTCATATTCTTGTCCAATACGATAGAACTTCGCCGAAAATAAGTGTCACTTTCGGTAAAACTAATGCGCTTTTGCTGTGTCTTCATTGTGTCGGAACTGACAGGACTGACGGCACTCTCATTGCTCGGAGACATACTATCGACGGCCACTCGACTCACGTAATCTGTTTCTTCCCACTCCTGTTCGACGAGGTCTTCGTCTGATATCTCTGACGAAATATTCTTCATATTAGTGGGAGATTTAGCTAATAATTCTTGTTTAGCCTTCAGGACAATCGTTTGAGCGATTATCTGAGCCTCCCTTCGGATCTCTTCGTAATTGATTGTTTCCAAAACACTAGTTGTCGTCACTTTAGTTTCAGAATTGGATTCATTTCTATTGATTAGTTTTCTTTCTGGCGATCCGTTGACCACCTCTTCATTCAGCTCTTTGGCAAAAATTTCGCTCACGAGGTGTTGTTTCACTTTTCCCTCAATTTCTACCACCCGTTTGTCATTAGACTTATTATTATTGTCGTTATCATCGCCTTTACCCTCATTCCTATCCTTATCACTGTCTTTAGGCAAAGAATCACTTCCTACTGAACCCTTGCCTCTGAGCACTTCGTATGGACTTCTGGTTTGAGAATCGGCGGCAAATGTGTCGATATTCTCCTTCCCGGCGAACGCATTGTTCTCATACGCGGAATCAGATTCTGTCACAGAATCGGACTTTTCCTTTGAGTTCTGTGTGTTTGAAACACTGGAATCGTTGGCAACGATCGGTTGATGCGTTTCATAAGCTCTAGTATTGGCTAAAAGTTCATCCGTGGGAGAGATGCCGACCTTCACCTGATTGTCGGCTGACATGTAATCGCTATAATCACAGACGGGAGACAACTGTTCGTCCGACACGTCCACCACTTCTGGTGGCGACGGCTTTGGCAGAAAAGAGCGATCGCTCTCATCATTGCTATCGTTTTCATTGCTATCTTTAATGCCGATACAAGTCGGAGGAAATGCTTGCAAAAGAGTTTGCTTTTCAGTAACGCAAGCATTGGTTGCGATAATATTCTCATGAGTTTTAGTAGACTTTGCTGTTAGTGAAAGAGTTTTACAGTTATGTTTAGAGTTATCTATAGTTTATGGATATACAAAAGAGTTTGCTTTTCAGTAACGCAAGCATTGGTTGCGATAATATTCTCATGAGTTTTAGTAGACTTTGCTGTTAGTGAAAGAGTTTTACAGTTATGTTTAGAGTTATCTATAGTTTATGGATATATTGATTACGACGACGACTACAGAGCACTACATCTTTATAGTTGACAACCAATAAACTCAATTCAATCGCACGTTATATTCAGCGCTAAATAGTTTGCATTAATGTAATTTAGTTTAAATTATGGTAAAATTTCTCATTTTAAATACTCGGTCTACTGATTGTCAATTATACACACTTAACACTATGTTTAATATGTTTTGTTTGTGTTGTTTCTATAGTTAACACAACGACCGGGATATGAATTGTGGATATATTTGGATACAACGGTTGATACAATGATTGGGAGTTTTAATAACTTAAATAACAATATTTAAATAAAATTAAAATAATAATAAAACACCAAACCTTTGAAGTGACAAAACAATAAAATAAATTCAAAACACATCCGTAAACAAGAATTGAATTTCAGTTCACGTCTCCATTAATTTATGACAACTTTTAAATCAATCGATATTTCTTTTAATTGTTTCGTTTAATTAGAAAATTTTAATTTCAAATTAAATAAATTTTTTCATATAATGATTGAATATTAAATATATTTTAAGATTTAATATAACATTTGTAATTAACCCTAACTTTAACCAAACATTATGTCATGAGATTTGCTTTATATTTGAAGAGCATTTTTAAATGCATAATAAAAAAGACAAAAAACTAAAATTAATTATAAATATAGCATAAATGACAGCTAATATTCATTATTATGTAATAAAATGATGAATTTCCTTAAAAGGATTTCTTGAATCCATTAAATATTTTCACTAAAAAAAGTATATTTAAGTTCTTTGAAGAGATTATTGTCGGATATTCTTTAATCTTTTGAATTCATATCTGGAATAAAATCAAAATCATTTATTCATAAAACTGTCCTCTTTTTCGCAATTAATTTCTATATAAAATCTGTTAATACATTAATAATGAAAAACTCATTATTATTCAGAAGATATTAGACATTAAAACAGTTATAAACCAAGTCTTAGATTCTAAGAGTTAACATCTATACAGAGAATTAAACTTTTCAAAAAAGTGTCAAACAATTTATCAATTATTAAAATGATTGAAAAACGCAAGTTTTTTAGACAATTGGAAACGTTAGGCATAACAACAATTCAATTCTTATTGAATGTGAAACACATATAAATTAAATTAAACACAGTTTTGGTTAATATTAAATGAAATACAAAATTAATGATCAAATTTAAACGATTAATACACACAAAAAGCGACACAAATTAGTTGCTCTAATTGTAAAATTGTTATACTTTGTTGTAATTTCAAAAATGGTGTGAATTAAATGAGATTAGACTTACATTTGGTGTCTCTTTCATCGGTGATTATTGTCGACGTTTGCTCTATAATGTGCTCAACGCCGCCGTTTCCGTCCTCTTCGGTCCACTCTGTAATAGTTAAACAAATGGTTTGAATGTTTGCTTTCAAATACACAGACATTTATATATAAATTTGGTTAATCGGTGTAATTAGTGGTCTTTTAGGAGACATGCCGTTAATAATTGGACAGTTAGTCGTTTGTTAGTCGAAAATTGAATACTTTATTTGTCTCATAATTATTAATACATTAGTTTTTTTCCAATAAAAGGCCAATAAATGTGAAAGAAATTTACAGTCATTTTAGTTGTAAATAAATGGATTAAAATATGAATTTATGTTATGATAAAATAACTTAAAAACTTATGTTAGTTTTGTTGTGACTATTATTACATGAATTCAATGTACGAATTAATGAAATTAAAATAAATGCAATTAAAAATTTGTTTCGTTCAATATATTTGGGACACATTTTTATTTTGTTAGTTAAAATCTATCAATTGTTCACCTTTTTGTTCGACAATAGCATCGAAATGCGGTTCGTCTTCAATAGAAGTGGTGACTAAAGCGGAAGCAATATTGTCGCCGGTGTTTGTGGTCGTAGTGCTCGACACAGTGGTCGTCGACGGCTCAGACTTCTCGTCTTCGGGCAAACTTGACACCGAGACCTGACTCGTGTCCTGCTCTGAATGCCACGTCTCGCTCTCCAACAAGTGTCGATTCGGATCAACATTAAGGCCTTCGTCCGCATCTGGAGATTACAACATAAACATAATTATCGCAAAACAAATCAATCGGTTGTCCATATAATTGCTACAAACCGTGGGTCTGGACAACAGTGGTTTTGGTGACAGCAGTGATCGTATGCTTAATGGATCCGTCGTCGAGAATACTCGTCGTTTCAGTGGTTCTAATTTCCATCGGTTCGTCTGTTTTGACAATAATTCAAATTAAGTTCAATTGGACTGAAAGACGAGTCAAAGAGCCAAATGGTGTGTACCTGAGTATGACTGGCCCTCTAAGGGAATCACCATTTCTTCCTTCACTACAAACAGCTCAGAGGGAAGACTCGAGTCTTCGCCCCTATTCTTAGCCCTCTCTTCGGAGTCCTCTCTGTCCTGTTCTTCGAGGAATTCGAGGAACTTCTGAGCGGCCACTTCTCGCTCTTCGGACTCGCGTTTCTGTTCCTCCGTTTCACTGGTTGTACTCGTTTGCCGACTTCGCCGCTCCGCAGACGTCGAGTGATCTTTGAGTGAAGTAACGCCGCCTTCACTGCCACTCTCCTCCGCGGACTCCGCCTCCTATGCCATCGATGTATAGAAATTAACACTTTTGTTGGCAACTAATGAGCTGTTAAAAGGCGAAGGCATACCTTCATAATGTCCTGTTCGTCATACGACACATCTATCGAGACTTCTCGACCGAGAGAAGTGCCTCGCGATGTGGTTCGCGAACGTCCCGTGTCTTCCTTCAGTGAGTCGAACCCGTTTTGGTCGACTCGACCGATATTACCGGTGCTGTGCTTGAGGTCAGGCGTAGCTGCGAAGACAATGGAGTCGAAGGATTTCATTAAACAAGTGGTCGGCAAATAGTAATAGATGTGAAATCAATGCAATGCTTACACGAATCGTATTGCTTTCCGATGCCATCGAAATCATTGGGCGAAACGTCTTCTCTGCAAATGTCGGGTAATTCGATGTTTAGGTTACAAATGGGTTGCGGTGTGGGCTCTGAACCACGGATTCGCTTATTGTCGCGCATGAATGCGATCCGTCCTAACGGTTCCTGATTGGGGTCTTTGACGCGCATAACGAATGGCAAGCGATTCTCGCGAAACGCTCGGAACGTCAGCGACAACTGTTCGCCCGATTTGGTCACTGGAATCAGATTTCCGGCAAACTCTAAGAACTGAGACTTATTCTCGAGCACTTCCACGTCGCGGCTTTTGGCCACTTCTGTGAAGTGTTCCTGATTTTCGAGTGTCTTCTCCTCCTTATCGTCGGTCATGCAGAAGACCCGGAGCTGTGCCTCCGACGGGTCGTAGCGTTTGGCAAAGACGACAAACTTTGACATAAAGGGCACGTGAATCGCCTCCTGGTATAACTCGGTGGCGAATTTGGTCGCTTCGTTCACTTGGCGACAGTCGATGAGCCAAAAACGGGCCGAAACTGTGGTCGTGAATGAGACACAATCGTTGACAAACGTGAGGGGTGTGGAGCCCGTCACGTCCTCCCATTGCGCTCTCGTTGTTCCGCCTAATAGTGTCGGTAATCAGCAAAACAGTCGGGTTTGAGAAGCGATCAAAAACACAATGAGCTGAACTCAGTTTTTCATAAACATAACCAAAAGGTTGTTCTCAACACAAATTAATTGTAATTAAAAAAAATTATAAAAAACATGAGAACAACCGTTACAAACATAATATATAATCATATTCATTACAATACAAATGCCCTCATCAGGTGGTGTCTCCTCTCCTGCATCTGCACTCTTTGTTTCTATGCAAATACTATCCGTCTATGCCTTGAGTCCCACAAATCATAAGCAAAGCAGCAAAAGAATTGAAAACGAAATCATAGAATAACAGACAAAAACAATATACAGATAACAAGACATTAATTGATTAATATGTCGTTAATATTGACAACAGATATGTGACAATCAATCGATTTCAAAGTTAAGTTAGACTACAGTTGTGTTAATTCTATCAGAATTAGTATCAGTCTATCAGATGAGTAGAGTATTGAACAATAAAAGCAGTTTATAAGCACTAATGAATCGATTGGACATACAATACACACACAAACAAAAAATGGGAAAATAAAGAAAAAGAAAACACAAAAAAGGAGTTGAAAAGCATTTCTAGAAGCAGAGAAGCAAAGAGGAGACAGACCTGACTTCGTACTACCTGTTATACTGCATAAGAGGCGAAGGGTGGGCGCGTCCGTCGTGTACTGATTGATCATTCCTCGAGTGGCCGCTTGAGGAACAGGTATTGTAAGCGTAATTGGTTTATGAAATTTGCGTCGACGCGGCTCTATTGTACAGATGGGAGAGACGGCCACTCTATTGCCCAACATTTTGGTCACCAAATCTGATGGTATCGGTTGGGCCTATAGAGAGGGAAGAAAGCAAAGGAGGAATCGTTTTAGTAAATTGAGAATGAATTCATAGTGTTCACAGTCACACCCGTCACGGGTCACACTCGGCAGCAAACAATCACCGGCCCGTTCCCGACATTCCCGTCACTTCACTTTAGTCTTACAAATCATTTTATTTGTGTCACAAATTAATGTCATTTGACGGGAATGTCGAGAATCATGAGCCGATTCTTGAGCCGAAGAGCAATAGAGTTATGAGTTATGGTTTTGTTAATAACAATAATATAGAAAAATAGAGTTAATATAAAGGATAGCGAGCTATAAGCGAGACAGTGGACAAGTATAAGTCATTCTCCATTTGATACCATTCCCCCTCACTTTCAATAAATGCATACAAATTGAACAACAATTCAGTTTTTATGGCTTTCGACAGATAATTAGTTTTGAAATTTTATTAAGAATTTGTAGAGAAAGCCCAGAAATGCAGACAAGAAAATAGTAATGAAGCAAAAGTGAGGCTCAAAAGAGTTTATTTGTTAATAATTAAAGCGAAACATAAGTCGAGAATACATTAATAGCATTAAGTTAAGCACAAGTAAATGTTAATTATAGACAATTATATTAGAAAGCAAAGGAGGAATCGTTTTAGTAAATTGAGAATGAATTCATAGTGTTCACAGTCACACCCGTCACGGGTCACACTCGGCAGCAAACAATCACCGGCCCGTTCCCGACATTCCCGTCACTTCACGAAATTATTACAAATCATTTGATTTGTGTTACAAATTAATGTCATTGACGGGAATGTCAAGAATGAGCCGATTCTTGAGCCGAAGAGCAATAGAGTTATGAGTTATGGTTTTGTTAATAACAATAATATAGAAAAATAGAGTTAATATAAAGGATAGCGAGCTATAAGCGAGACAGTGGACAAGTGTAAGTCATTCTCCATTTGATACCATTCCCCCTCACTTTCAATAAATGCATACAAATTGAACAACAATTCAGTTTTTAATGGCTTTCGAAAGATAATTAGTTTTGAAATTTTATTGAGAATTTGTAGAGAAAGCCCAGAAATGCAGACAAGAAAGTAGTAATGAAGCAAAAGTGAGGCTCAAAAGAGTTTATTTGTTAATAATTAAAGCGAAACATAAGTCGAGAATACATTAATAGCATTAAGTTAAGCACAAGTAAATGTTAATTATAGACAATTATATTAGTAATGTTAATAATAAATATAATTAAATTAGTTTAAAATATTATAATAAATAAATATATATATTTAAAACATTATCTATAGATAAATAAAATCATTATTACACACAATATTTTGGCACAAATCATAAAAACAAATGCATAACCGGTAACTAAAGTAACTTTTTTGTGCGGTTTTGACTTTTGAACCCAAATTTAACACAGAATTTGTTTTATATATTTGACATCAAACGCGTGCGAAAAACATTTGTTTAATTGAGTTTATAATATATGACAATCTTTTTATATGTAAAATATATAATTATAATTCATTTCTTCACTGATTATGTGACTAGTGATTGATATTTGATAATTGAGATTAACATTATGCATAATGTTTTGAATTTTTAAGGTAAACCGCATATTAAATAAATAGAGTATTATATTCAATAACATTTGTAAATTCAATTAAAATAAATAAAATCTTTATATGTATTTGTAATCATCAATGAATGATATTTGAGATTAATTTCAGTCAAATTCAAACTCTGGTTATTCTTATATTAAAATTTCAAATCTTATAATATGTCGTGAATTGTATAGAATTTATAGAAACTAAATATTAATTATTTTGTGTCATTACATTAATGCCATTAACTAACCTAAAAGTCGCTAATCAATCAATTAAATCAGTTTTAAACTAAACGTTAATAGTAGTTGAGAAAAGACCTATCACTTTAGCTATAAAATGCAAATTCTATATATTTATATCAATGGATCGGAGAATATATTAAGAGTTTGTTCACATCATTCTGGATATGACATCGAGATTGGGAACCGCTGTTCTCACTAACAATCTGGTAAAACATCCGCCACTCGGCGGCTGACGGAACCGAAACTCGGGCTTCTCGTCCTCTTTTATCTCATTATTTAATTTAAACTTTTTGCAACTCTTTTTAGACTTTTTCGGGCGCTCTGTTTGAGTGCTTTTGTCTTTGCGTTTGTTTTTATCGCATTTTGTTTGCTTTTGAGGCACTGTTTCGTTATTCAACGGCTTTTGTTTTGATCTTTTACTGAAACGTTTTCTGATTCCGTTTCCGATCTCATAGAAAATTCCCCGCTTTTTATTGATGGCATCGATCGGTTCAATCACTTCAATGCAATCACTGTTTCCTACCTGTAGTCCGACTTTTATTTTCTTAGTGAGCGCTCCCTCGGGAAAGATGGCCTGAACTTGCGGTACAACAGTCGACGACACCATTCCTCCTTCCGGTCCGATTGCGTGCACTTCTTGACGGATACGAGTGATGACAGCGAAGTACTGCGGAAAGTCTGTCGTCAAAATTCGTGTTATACGATTGCTGTTGAAGTCATCCAATGTGTTCACATCTATTCAACGCAAGTATTATTGTTATTACATTTTTATTATCGAAAACGCTATTAAACACAACAAACCATTCTCTCCTTCAAAGCTCTCGTTCAGCACTTCTTGAACCGCTTCTTCGGAGGCCTCGAGTGTGTGTTCCTTCCAATTCTCTCCGTTATCGCTCCTCAATATGATTATCTCTCTTTCCTTTCCGCGCAGGGATGCGAAGTGCGGCACTTCTATGATTACAGGTCTGATAGAAAAAACAATTTCATTTATTAATTAATATAAATATCTATAACTAATATCCATAAAGTGCTGGATGTGAACAAAAACACATACCCCAAGAACTTAGCGCCCGCCGGTCCCACTTCGAGCAAACGAGAAGCGCAGGCCTCGCCCTCCATGAGTGGCGGCGGATGAATGAGTTTCTCTTTCCTCAGGTATCGACACGTGATTCTCATAGGCATCGGTGCCTTTCGCGGAGGAATAATGACCCGAACGCCAGAATGTCTGCACCCTCTCATCGCCCCACCCCTCGCGTCCACCATAAAGCTGACCAGAAAACTATAGCACAAACAAAATGCAATTAAACCATTGAATGGCAAACATAACACATCAATGTTTGATTAGTGGTCAGCAATGGATTATATCACTTACGTCTTCCACTTTAATCGTCTACAATGACATCCGACGTGCAAAACAGGCATTTATTATATGGAATTAAAAAGCATTCAAATGAGCCAATCGTTTGGTTATACAAAAATGTTCAAAAAAATTAATTTGTTAATCAAATTGTGGTTCAGATATTCAAAACACGTGCACTGAGTTAGGAGTGAATCGAGATCTCAATACATGATCAGCGGTTAGCCATGAATGAGAGCCACTAAAATGTCTTGTGTTTAAGCGATTAAAACTTATATAATTTAATTAGTAATTAATTTCAAATACCAATTAAATTATACAAACAAAAAAGTGCTCTTAAAAAGCTGAGCGTCAAAAACAAAACCATATCATGTGTACTAAAATTTAAGCAAAACAATAAAAGCTTGTGCTAATTGTGTCGAAGAATTCTCGTGAGTTATTTTGATTTTAAATCCAACAGATATTTAGAGTAATTAATTTAAAAGTGGATAAAAATTAGTCCAAACCCCCAATTAAACACATTTTACTAAATAAATAGTCAATAAAAATATTTCGCAAAAGGTTAGATAAAATCCTATAATTGCATAAATTATAGTAAAATATCTTAATTAATAATGAATTTCTTTGTTAAACTCAATTAAATATTCATTAAGAATCTGTTTAAAGTAATAATTAGTAAATA